GGGGACAAGGTAATTGATTCAACTTTTATTTTTTGTCTTCTAACGTGCAGAAGTGAGAGAAGGAGAGGAAAAAATATAACAATCTATCAAACTTATTTTTCTTGTCTTCTGACAGACAACACCACGAAACCTGTGGACCCAGAACCCATTGGAAGAGACAGGAAATGGTTGGGTGGGAGAGGAAGAAGGTGGGAAAAGAATAAATGGTCGCTTTTAAGCACAAGAGGCCAATCCGGAAAAATGCTGTTTTGAGAAAATCGAAGGTAAAGTTTTTGCCCCTTGCTCAGTTTTTCTTTTTAAATACAAGGAGAGTTTTCTCCTTAACCAAACAAATATACACACCAATGAAACTAAACATCTCCTATACGTAGGAAAAACCCATTTTTGGTGTAGGTCAAGATTTCTGGAAACCCCTGAAATCAGGATTAGCCCGCTTGTCCTTAAAAGCGACCAAATAGAATTATACGTTCTTGTTCTTTATGTTTATTGACGGCCCTTCCTCTGACAGACATTAATTGATCACCACGCAACCTGTGGACTCTGCTCCCACTGGAAGAGGCGGGAGATGGTGGGGGTGGGAGAGAGAAAAGGAAGTGGAAGAAATAATAGGATCAAACATTATTATGTTTTGTTTGCTTGTGGGGAGGGGGGGGGTCCTTGGGTTTTTTTTATGGGTTTTTTTGTTGTTTGTTTGTTTGTTTATTTGTTTGTTTGGTTTGTTGGTTTTTGTTGGATTTTTGTTGTTGTTGTTTTTGTTTTGTTTTCTGTTATTTGTTGTTTTTGGGGGGAGTGGGGGGTGTTCTGACAGAGAATTGCCACCATGCAATGGTGGATCCTGTTCCCACCGGAAGAGGCAGGAAATGTTGGAGGAGGGGTGGAGAAGGAATGGAATGAATAAAATCAAATTTTTGTTTTGTTTGTTTATTTTGTTTTTGTCCTCAGACAGACGGTAAGCCACCACACAACCTGTGGACTCTGCTCCCACTGGAAGAGGTGGGAGATGGTGGGGGTGGGAGAGAGAAAGAAGGAAGGGGAAGAAATAATAAAATCAAACGTTTTTGTGTTTTGTTTGTTTGTTGTTGTTTTTGTCCACCAGACAGCCTTTGGAACCTGCTCCCACTGAAAGGAGGAGGGTGGGAGTGAGAAAAAGAAGGGAAAGGATTACATCACACTTGTAAGAGAAGGAGGGAAAGAATTAAATAGTGTATCAAGCTTTTAGGGTTGTTTTCGGTTTTTGTTTTTGTTTTTGTTTTGTGAAGGCTGGATCCCATCCCCACCCCA